AAGACTATACTAGATTATATATAGTCTTTTCTTGTAGTTTTTTCCATTATTGTCTGTCTGTGATATCAAAGGCATTGCCCAGCATAGGCCTCATTAAAGGTCGAAAGAGCACACATAGATTTTTCCACAATATCCATAGAAACTTCTTTGGAAGGGACAAGACTTTCAGATCTTCCTCTTTATTTACCATATTTTATATACATTTGTATCCATTTATATCGTCTGGAACACAGTCTTGTGGTGGATTATCTAATTCGATATGCTATGCTTCTAATGCGTTTTGGCCGTAAAATTGCTTTGTTTTGAAAAACCTTCACTAGAAATCTTCCAAAACTTTGTTTCCCTCAAGAAAAAGCTTAGATCAAAGGGTAAGTTCCTGTTTTATTTAGCGCTGATGATCGTTAAAAGTAGAAGGATCCTTCCAGCCCTTCATTCCCGCCCTCCGAGAGTATTACTTGGGCCTTTACCACAAAACAATCGGGTGCCAGGGCGATATTCCATCTGCCATCAGCCCAAGAAGTCCCACTACCACGTGATCCATCCCCACAGCCCCCTCTGATCGGATGGCAGCAGTAGGACGTCACACCTCTCAGGAGAGCTCTGACCTGGAGGGCAACCTTCGAGTCCATAGTTCGGTCTATGCATCGACGATGATAGGACTGTGGGATTGGACTGGAAGGAACAAGCTTTTTATATAGGATTTGGTATGATATGCTGCTAATGGAGTGTGTCCGTGAAATCGGTGATGAGATCAGCAGGTGGCGGAACAGAGATGCTTGTATTTCATAGAGTCTAGTGGAAGTTCGGCGAGGGCAGAGCGGGAGAGCAATGAAAAGCTCTCGCTCCCACGCTTTACTGCCGTCTAGGCTAAGCTTCGCGATCGAATTCCGAAAAGCCACAAGAGAGCGCTCGAAAGCCACTGCTCTTTCTTCTTCGTCCAGCGACAGCCGACGACTGAGCTTTGACTGTATGTGTGCACACGATGCAGGCCCCGAAGCTTCTCGAATTTGTGCGAAAGAGACAGCGCGGACTTCGTTGCTTCCAAAAGCTTCGCTGCCTTTGGCGTAGAATCTGTTGGAAAGCAGCTTGGGACCATGGAATCGATCACCTTTGGAAGAACGTGTACCCAAAAGCACAACATTTTGTGTAACATTTAATTCCCCGTCACAACAGCCGCCCTCCTTAATGCCTTCCTTCCTTCTCTGCTTTATTTTCTTCCTTCCACCCACTTTCCTGTTAATCTGCTCATTAAAAAACCTGCTTTACTGCCTTCTGCCTGATGGCTGCCCCTTATCCGTTCACTAATCCAATCAGCCACAGGCCCTACCCCACCCCCACCCCCATCCCCACCTCTTCATTAAACGCAGCTCGAGAGCCTGCCCCCCCCCCCCCGGTCCACTCCTCAAGTTAATAAACAGCCCGGAGCCTAGAGACGGAGAAAAACCCAAGTAAAAATTGTCGCCTCGGCCATAAAAACATAACTCATACGCAGCGTAGGTTCTCCCGCCCCTCCCCAGCCACTCCCACGATGCCACTCAACTCTGCTTAAGCCGCCACATTCCATTCCACTCCATGTTTATTCATTCATGGGGCATGCGGCATGGGGCATGGGGCACGGGGCATGCTGCATGTTTCTTTATGGAACCGCGAATGTGTCGAGCGTTTGTAAACTCATTAAAATGTGCTCATTGTGTGCTCCGTACAGTGCAGTTCGTGAAGTTATTGCCGCTACGGGAAGCCGTTAACTTTTGAGCCTCGACTGGTTTTTAATTAAGCCGCCCTCGGGGGCCACGCCTCCCCCCGAAAACCCGCCGCCCCTGGGTCCTTTGATTTATTTTCGCAGCTCCGGTTGATTGCCTTTTTAAAGTTCTTCGTTGGGGGGTGGCATTCGGGGGTGGCATTTGGGGCTAAACTATTGCCAAATGTGGCAGACATTTAAATAAACGTTAAGGGTGCACGTGGAAAGCGAGGGGGAGCCTTTGGGTAACTTTAGTCAAGGACGCCCGCAAAGGGATACCGTCTGGCGATGAGCAACATGCGTGTCCTGCCGCATATTTATGTAGATCTTCCGTTTGGCACTCCCTCACGCGGCCATCTCCAGGCTCCAGGCTCCAGGCTCCACTTGCGAGTGCTTTGTCCCTACCGCCAGATGATGTGTGCACACAGATACAGAAACAGTTACACTTGCTACAAATCATGCATGTGTGTGTGTGTGTGGGAGGAGTCTTACTTTCTTGCCATCTCTCTCTTGAGCGCTTCCGCCTCCTCTCAAACTCCTTTCGACGCGTCTGTCCGTCCGTCCGTCTGTCGTGCAGTTACGTAAATTATTGTCTGTCTTCCCATGGCTCTTCCTTCTTCTGCTCTTCTTCCTTCCTCCATGTCACTTTTCGCTCGTACTTCACTCTTGACGCTCCTTTTTTTTCTACCCAAAGCCCCACACACCCCCCCACACACACACCCACACCCACACACATGTAGCCCTGTACATGTTTTGTATTTTATTGCATATTCCCCATTTGGCTTGTACTTTCTGGCTCACTCTCCCCTTTGGACCCCCCTTCGGCACTTAAAGCCCCAAAACGAGAAAAACTTTTCTCTTTTTTTCATTAAAGGGGAACCCCATTTTCGCCCCCTATTAAAGAGGTTTTTCCTGAAAAAATAGTGTTTTAGGCTCTGGAGTTATAATAATGTGGAGTGGACTCTGGAGTGGAGTGGAGTGGCGGGGGATGGTGGGGCACCACTTATAAGTAAGATGAATTGTCTGCGAGGGTTACAGAAAGTGTGGGGCTGACGGAATTAGAATTTAAATTATGCCGCTGGGGGAGCAATGAAATGATGTGCAATATATCTCCTTCTTTGTTTGTTTTTCGTTGGAGCCACATTCTGTGGATGGAGCACACAAGTTTATGTTTATTCCGTTAGGTCAAGAATTTCTAAGCAGTTCATAAAAGAAAAGTATATGTATATTCCCCAAGAAATATCTACACATATCCCCCACTCCATGAGCCCCATTCAAAGCGAACCCCCACACGCTGAAAGGATGCATAGTGAAAGGGAGGGCGGGAGGTGGGGGATTAATTCATTTAAAAGTCGTTAGAAGAGAGCCATAAAAAAATAGATGGAAACATTTTGCGCGTCGGCAGCGGAAACGGAAAGTCGGAAAATGCCAGCGGCAGCTGGAGGAAAATGCTGAAATCCTTTTCTGCACTTAAGTGATAAACAAATACACTGGCATTCGGCAAACACACGGCAAACGAGACTGGAGGACTTATAAGAACGGAGGGGAGACGAAGTCCTTGGTGCCCTTGGAAAGGCTTGATTTTTGATGATTATACCCGATACTCAAAATGAGTATTGGGGTATATTAGATTTGTGGTAAAAGTGGATGTGTGTAACGTCCAGAAGGAATCGTTTCCGACCCCATAAAGTATATATATTCTTGATCAGCATCAATAGCCGAGTCGATTGAGCCATGTCTGTCTGTCCGTCTGTCCGTCTGTCCGTCCGTCCGTCTGTCCGTCTGTCCGTCTGTCCGTCCCCTTCAGCGCCTAATGCTCAAAGACTATAAGAGCTAGAGCAACGATGTTTTGGATCCAGACTTCTGTGATATGTCACTGCTCCAAAAATATTTCAAAACTTTGCCCCGCCCACTTCCGCCCCCACAAAGGGCGAAAATCTGTGGCATCCACAATTTTGACGATACGAGAAAACTAAAAACGCAGAATCGTAGAAGATGACTATATCTTCTAGAGTGCAAAATCTGAACCAGATCGTATAGTTAATACAGCCAGAATCACGAAAACAATTTCACTCTTTCTCGCTCTGTCTCACTCTAACACACAGGTTTCATGGTCGGTTTTGCCAATTGCAAAATATGAGTTCAAGGATCTCAGAACCTATAAAAGCCAGAGCAACCCAATTTGGTATCCACACTCCTGTGATATCGGACCTTGACCGTTTCCTGTCCAAATTTCGCCACACCCCCTTCCGCCCCCGCAAAGGACGAAAATCTGAGGCAACCACAAATCTCAGAGACTATTAAGGCTAGAGTAACCAAATTTGGTACACACACTCCTTTAAGATGTCACTATAAAACGTATATCTCAGAATTTCGCCCCACCCCCATCCGCCTCCACAAAGGACGAAAATCTGTTGCATCCACAATATTGCAGATTTGAGAAAACTAAAAACGCAGAATCATAGATAATGACCATATCTATTAGATTGCTGAATCTGGATCAGATCAGATCATTTTTATAGCCAAAAGGAACAAATCAATTTGCAGTGGCTACGCAGCGCCCGACGTCACGCTCAGACTGATTTTCTGTCTCTCTCGCACGCACTCTTTGTCGTGTCGTTAAATATTAGCGGCGTCTGCCGGAGGAGAGCCATACTGACTTAGTATCGGGTATAACCTTAGAGTTGCGGTGTCCGCAGCAACTCACAACGTTCCCCCTCGTTTCTATATAGTATTGGGATTTGGAAGGAGTTTTTTCTGACTTTTCCACAAAAAAGGTCTGGAAACATCAAAAAAATACTATTCTACGTAGTCCAGGCTGATCTGGCTGTTAATTCTATGCTCCATAGAGTCCAAAAGTCCTTGGAGTCCTTGTCAAACCCCATCTAAAAATCCAAATACCCTTTATTCTAGGGCACAGCCAGACGCAAATGCATAAGCACAGAGCAGACACCAACCGGCAAAGCCAGCAGATCGAGTGTGAAAAGTGGCAAGCTCCGAGTCGCCCCCGCAACGCCGACAGAGTGCCCCCCTCCCCTCCCCACCCGCTTTCCCACCCACCACCAGCAGTCGCCCAATTGAGACTGCGATTCCGAGTGCATCATCAGCATAATCAACGCGCGGCTCTCGTTGGCTTTTTGCGTCGTAAATTTGCTGAGTGCTCCTGCTCGAAAGCCACGGCAGGGGCCAGGCAGTCGCTCATAAGGTGCCTGGCAAAAGTATAGGAAAAAAGAAGCAAGAGAAGGAAAAAAAAAAGAGTTTTGGGCCCGTCCGGGATTTGAACCCGGGACCTCTCGCACCCGAAGCGAGCATCATTCTTCTAGACCAACGGGCCGCTTGAGAGCTTCCAGGCCCTGAAATATATAGATGGGGCTCCTGTAGGGATCAGGATATTTTGCAGGGTTCCAGACACTAATTAATACCAATTTTGGGGCTAATTGGGGGTAAGCCTTTAGGGTATATGGAGGCTATACAAATTCGAGGATCAAAATTTGAGGTTAGGAAAATCCCGCCTGAGGCTTGGATTGGCAGGTAAAATATTGCGGCTGTCGTATGCTTTTGATACGCACCTTACGAATTTATCTTAGAGCACACTCTCTTTCTGTCCATCTGTCTATCCCTCTCGCACGCAGCTCATCAGCGGCGATGGCGACGGCTGACTTTTGCCGCTGCTGACGTCGACGTCGACAGCACTGCCCAGCCCAGCCTCGCCCTCTCCCTTTCCCTCTCCCGCTCTGGATGCCAACTTCCGTTATGTCTTTATTTGTCTGTCTGTCTGACATTTGCTCTTTACGCTCTCGTACTCTCTCTCACACCCCCCCTCTCACTCTGTCTCTCTCTCTCTCTCTCGCTGGCTTCTGTCTCATCTTTTTGCTTAATGTATGTTTACCTTTCGTTAATGAAGTTGTTGCCCACCGCCGACGGCAGGCAGCCAGCCACCACCTCGAGTGAACAGTTATTTTTGCAAAAATATTTCCAAATAATATGTGGGAGAGGGGGGGAGAGGGAGAGGAATGGCGAATCAAAAGAAGAGTAAAGATTTTACGGAAAAGGAGTGCAAGCCGTGGGGAGAGTGTAAAAAATAAAAAATGAAAGCAATTAGTTTGTTCATCACTCAACAGATGGCGCAGCAAAATGTTCGCTCTCACTCTCCTTCGCGCTGTCCGTCTATCTGTCTGTCTCTTACTATCATTCTCGCAGGCAGCAGCAGTGCCTTCTGCCATCTCTTTCATTATGAATGAAAGCGTGGAGCAGAAATAATAATTATGCATGCAAATAAAAGAGAGAGAAAAGGAGGGGAGAGGAGAAAGGAGAGGAGAGCCAGGGAGAGTTAAAGGAAAAGTGCAAGCCAGAAAGTTCAAGAGCTTGGAAGATTTTTAAAATATTATTTTAATGCACTAAAAATACAATAATCACTGATATTATTTTTTTTAGAATTTCTTTTGTTATTTATTTGTTTTTTTGCAAGGCACTCCCCAAGTCGACTCCCTTTCGACTCTTTGAAATAATTTCTCATTTTTATGCCTCCCCCCTTTACCGCTTACCTTGAGGAAAAACAATCCGCCAGCTGGCAGGGTGATGCGATGGGAGCCCGGCAGTATCTTCAGCGGCACCCCGTCCTTGTACCACTGTATGGTGGGCGTGGGGCTGCCCTCGGCTTTGCAATTAAGCGTCGCTGGCTCGTGTCGTGGCACTGTCGTATCTATGGGATGCTCCACTATTCGCGGCGGATGTGAACCTGCCAAAGAGTGGAGAGAGAGAGAGAGAGAGAGCGTTGAAAGAAATGTGAAATATAAAAATTGCAAAAGGATTCGACGAGGTGGGGGAGCTGCCTGATGCGGGGCTTTTCCGTTTTCCGCTGCGTCAGTCGTCGACATCATCATCGTCAGCGGTTTGTGTGGAAATGCACAAGAAAATGGGGTAAAACGAGAAACGCTCGTTGGCCAAATGAAAACAATGTTAATGCGCACTGCCGTTGACGTTGCAAATGAAGTTGCAGCTTGCATTGCGGGGGGCAGAAGGGGGGACTCCTGGGGGAGGGGGCTGCTCAAAGGATTCAGTTTGGAATTAATTTGTTTAGATTTGCATATGCGGCAAAGGACTCCACACTCTGGTAGCTTAGCATTTAAGTATTTTCCTTTTTTCTCTCTCTGTTATTTTGCCCCTACTTTTTGTTTTGTTTTCTTTTGCATAATGCAAACGTTGGGAAATTAGTTGGGTGGAAAAGGGGGCGGGGCGGTGGCTGTACACCTGACAGGACCGGGTTCATGGGCTAGATAAGCCCGGAGATTAGCATACTCTTCTTTTGTTTAAAACATTATTAAGAAAATGTGGCCTTAAGTTGTGGTTGCTCTTTGCGGGGGGGCGGAGGGGCGGAGAGGCGGGGTGCCTCCTTCAGCCCTGCTTATTGCTTCTATTCGAATGCACAGCATTGCATTTTCTTTGTCTGTCAATTCCGTTAGTTCTTTGGCAGTGATCGCTGCTCAGTGAAGCAGTTTCTGCACAAAATAAAGTTATCTGGCGCTGTCAGTGAAGCAGTGCAGCAAGGGAGGCGTGCACTGCTTGGATCTTAGGGAAAATCAAAGGCAAAATTCAAGAATCTATGTGGAATGCCATTTGGAAGCAGGAATTTAATTTGTAAATTGACTTCAGGCACAGGTTTGCAGCTGGATCCAAGCCAATGAGCAAGCTGTTCAGTTTTGGTGGGGTTCTGACTCAGTTTGAGTTGAGCGCATGAGAAAGTCGTGATATCTTTGCCCATAGCAACAATCAGCACTTTCGGATGAGTGGTATATACAGTATTTGGCCTTAAAGCCCCTTGTGATTGAGATATTCTTTGTCCAAAGCAGCATTCAGCACTTTCGGATGAGCGTTATATGCAATATTTGGCCATATAGCCTCTTTTGATTGAAATACACGCCATTGCGACGTGCTCACACGCACATATTCGTTATCTTATTAGATTCGTTCGTATTTGCAACCAAAGAAATGGGGAAAAGTTGTAGTTTTTTGCTTGGGGAGACAGAGAACTGCTTACACTCTCCTTTTTTCGTTAGCTTCCCTCTCCATTGCTCCCTTTGCTGATTACAGCTCTGTTTCCCCGTTCAGGAGATGTTCCATGGATGCTTTCAATACCCCAATACCCTCCTTAAATTCCTCGGATATTTTCACTTCTTAAACGTGGTGCAAATGAAAAACTATGGCCATCGCCATTTGCTACGAATTCAATTGTTTATTTATATATTTTCCCGCCTCTAGCATCGGGAAAACCCATTTAACGAAAGTTTCTTTCAATGGTTGACACCCACTGCTGCCCCACCGCCCCCTGCGGGTGCCAAGTGCTCGCTGCACCGCAATCTTTATTTGCTAACCGCAAAACTCTGGAGCTCTCGACTTGTCGAGTGTTTGCCGCCAGCAAATCTGTCAATGGCAAAAGACATAAATTTCAATTTTCATGCCCATATCTAAACAATTTTCCGTCGCCCACACACACACACACACACACACGCACACAGAGGCACACTGAGAGCAAAAAGTAAGCGGAAGAAGATGCAAAAGTTTACACATATCGCAGCAGGAATCTATAAATCATATACACTGATCGAAAAACAGGGAGAAAACATAATATTTATGAAAATATTCCTTCACCTTTCGCTCCCCCAAATCGTGAACAATTTCAAAGATACAGGAAGGATTACTACGGATTCTTTTAGTATCAAAATGTCGCTTTACGTATGCCCCCTTTCCTTCTATGTATCTGCGTATCTGAGTGTATTTTGGTTGTATCTTTTGCTGGGCATTTCGCGTGAAAATTGATATGTCAGAAAATGTTGGAATATTGAAACGTTATTTAATAAAACGCCACCGCCGAGCACATTTGTTGCTCTGCCAGTTTGTTGTTGATTGCAACACGACAACACGACAGCGGCAACAACAACAACACCAACAATGGTAGAGGCAATGGCAACGGGAACAGCAGCGACAACAACATCAAATGGCAAACAGCTCGAGGCAAAAGTTGCATGTCATCCCGCAATAACAACAAAAACAACAACAATCAACGATGTTGCAAGCTGGAAATCGAATTCCGAAATTTCGGAGAAAGGCATTCGAGAGAGAGAAGGGGGAGGGGGGGGGGAGGTGGCAGGGACCGGCAGACGTGTTGCATGTCCTGCTGCTTCCACCCTCACTTGAGGGGTGGCCAGTGGACAGAGGACAGAGGAGGGGTCAACCAGCAAGACGGCATGTCAATGTTATTTCAACAACGAAAATGAAAATAAAAAACATCGAAGTGAATGTTGGAGTGGGCTGGACGGGGGGGCGGCGGAGTTATGGCAGTCGAAAAATCAACATGCAATGCAAGGAGGGGAAAGAAAAAGGGAATTATGGAATGGGAGAGTCTTCTGTGGGAGAAGGTGCCCCGAGGTGACGAGAAGATACACTTTACAGGCCATATTTAAGGAGATTTTTATGACTTGAAGATACCCAAAGAAGACCTCCTCAATGATGAATCTTTCAGCCCCAATATAGGTACAAGAGTCCCCTCTCTTTCATAGATTCCTTCTCGAAAAGAAACACCAGGAGATGCTCTCCAGAGGCTACCCTTAAGACCATCAAAGCCCTCTCCAGTTGAGCGCCTACCCTCCTCCTTTTCGTGTCCAACAAACCGCTCTACAAATTGCATTAACCCCACGTCCCTGAAGAGTATGAAAACCGTTCAATGTGTCGTCTCGCCGCTGCACAATTCGAGGGTTAAATGTCGCATGTCGGGTTGTGGCACCCTTCCATGGACAGGGCGAAAGTTGCTCAACCGTGGACACAGTTCTTTTTTTCTCGTTTTTGGGTGGGTTCTTGTTTGTGCATATCTTTGCTGACCAGGCACAAGGACCTGCCTTCGGTATCGAGACCACGACAGGACCAAAAGTTGGCTGCTGCGGTTGTGGGCCCTGCGGTGATGTTCAACACCTAAAAAAAGGGTTTGCCAGCGTTGAAGGCCTTTGTTTTGATTACGCTTCATTTTCCAGTTTGTTTGAGAACAGCCTCCCCTCCCCTCATCTCCCCGCCCCCAAAAAAGAAGCGGAAAATGGCCAGGGAAAACCTTGGCGACTTGCAGCTGAATAATTCAATTAGTAGACCGAGAAAATTCGCAACGATTCCGTATGGCTGTGGCCCAGAGGCCTACTAATTTAGTTTTAATTGCATGCCAGGGAAAAAGCCACATACTCGTACCGAGTGCCATGTACTCGCTCGAATGGCAGAATGGAAAACACAAGGAAGAAGAATGTAACGACATGGAAAATGCTAGAAATTTGCATAAAAGCAGCAAAGGCATTT